TACGTATTCATTTTTCTTGAACTGTGCATGTGCCTGTCTTACCCTTTTAGAAAATTGTAATTGTAAGCATCTCTTTGAGATGAAAACGGGCAATATAATAAATGCAATTCATTTATTATAATTTATCATAAAATGCCCGAGTAAACAACAATTGAGCAAAGCTGCTACAAACGCAGGATAAAAGCCAAAGAGAGGGCCGACAAAACGTCCAAAAACAGTGGGAAAAATGGATAAACGGGTAAGACTTGGGTCCTTTTCTTGAGACTACCTTTCAAAAAGCATGAGCATCTTTCCAGCGTTTCTTCACTACTTTAAGGTATCAGTAATTATTGCTGTTTCTTGGTTGCTTTTTAAAAAAAGATTTTCTTCATTATTACTTTTCGTTTTATTAATTCCATCTATTTACCATTACTTTTCTCTTTTCTTTAATTTATCTATTATTACTTTTTGTTTTATTCCATCTTATTTATCATTTCTTTTCTCTAATTCATCTATTATTACTTTTTGTTTGATTCATTCCATCTTATTTATCATTACTTTTCTCTTTTCTTTAATTCATCTATTATTACTTCGTTTTTTTATCCGATTTTCTACATCTCACTTTTCTCCTTGGGCTACAAGACTGATGTTTCTCAACAAGTGCAATATTTCCATACAACACAAAATTACGGTACCAATGAAAAAACAAAACAAAACATTTTTGTTTAAAAAAATGACATGAAATAATATAAATGTTCAAATGACAGAGCATGAAATATTTCAATGAACAAGCTAAAGTTTAAAGCTGTGGATGGCGAGATAGATCTATCTCAATAAATAACGTTTTGGAACCACTTTCTTCTTGTTCAGCTGTTCAAATGTACCACGCCCACGAGCTTTACATTTTGTGGGGGGGGGGGGTTATTGCAGTTCATAAAATCTGTGATAATATCAGTCGTATGCGTTCAAGAAACATTATGTTGAAATTCAAATTCTAAAAAAAATCGTGACCTCGGTGCTTTCTTGTCGTATCACAATTTTTTTAAAACAGTGAAAGTGTCGGCTTCTTCTGATCTTAAGCACACTCTTTGTTATGAATTGTTTTCACTGCTATTAAAAATGGAGATATGACAAAAAAGTGCTGGGGTCGCGAAATGTTGCCACAAAACAAAACAAAAAAACCAAAAAAGGCACATATAAAGTAAATACAACTGTCATAAAAATGAAACGTGTGGGTTTTTTTTGTCTCTCTCTGCTGTAAAATGTCTCTTGTCTGGGCCCGGTACACTGGAACAGCTGGCTCAGCATACATTTTTAAAAATAACTTACAAACCTGCTGTGATGTACTGTAATATAAGCTAAAATACCGTCACATAAACAACAAGTCTGTGCTTGATGACCTAGCGGTGGAACGACCAGGCAAACTTGACTGACTGACCGCACGTAGCAGTACGTGCAGAGGTCACCTGCTGTTTTCTCGTAAACGAGCTGAGGTACAAAAGGGACTTTTTTGTTTTCCGCTCATAAATTATCAGAAAAGCCACAAACTGGGGTTTTGTTTGCTCAGAAACCAAATGAGGTATAAACTGGGACTTTAAATTTTTAAAAATCATAAATAAGATGAGGTACAAACTGGGATTTTTAAAACTCATATAAATAAGGTCCGGTCCAAACTGTTTTCGAGTGTCTAGAAAAATGACAAACATGAACTAAGCATCAGGTCCCAAACTCAGGGCCCGATAAATCGATAAGTTCAGCATCTCCACCTGGGTGCCAAGGGAACAAAATCCTTACCACTTACAGTACCAAAGGCTCATATAGTGAAAAACCCTCAAGTACCGCACCAGTTTAGAATGCTGAAGTTGTGGTAGAATTTTCTTACAAAAAAAATAATCTTGGCAACCTTGCAAGAAACACGCTGTAAAAATGTCTAAACGTTCATCAACCATTCCGCTTTCACATAGAGCAACTTCCTTTGGTATTTACTTCAGTGCAGTGCGTCCGCTCGTTGTTTGATTATGTTTCGTGTGCCTGGTCGTGTAAGTCGCCAGCGGTAGTGAGCGCATACTACACGGTCCTTACCTCCCCTCCTTCTTTTATGTGTTTGTTACTCTCTTGTAACAACACCTCTTTTATGTGTTTGTTACTCTCTTGTAACAAAACCTCTTTTATGTGTTTGTTACTCTCTTGTAACAACACCTCTTTTATGTGTTTGTTACTCTCTTGTAACAAAACCTCTTTCATGTGTTTGTTACTCTTCAAATATCACAAATAAATATAATTTTCCCCCAAAAAACACTATCTGGGGCACATTTCCAGGGCAATTAAAGGTGCTAAAGGCCTGTAACATCAGGCGACTAAACCGGGACATTTTGCCAAATGCTTTGCTCATATTAACACTATTTACCAGTCAACGCACTGGCTCAAAAGATGAACCACACTATTTACCAGTCAACGCACTGGCTCAAAAGATGAACCACACTATATATAGCAATAAACGCACTGGCTCAAAAGATGAACCACACTATATATAGCAATAAATGCACGGCCTCAAAAGATGAACCAAACACAAACTATCTCCAACAGAAACCACACAGTCAAAGCCACTCACCTCTGACTTTTTGATTGACGCAAATAATAAGTTATACATAAAAATAAATAAACAACATTTACCACAACAGCCCAGATCGCATCCAATATAGTCATGTAAAAACAACATTTGACATAACTGTTCGACAAGAAGCAAAATGGCTGACATATTACCCCGTGCCGCCGTTTGAAGTAACACCTAGTCTCAGACGCAATCATTTTGTTATGTCCCATATGGAACATAGCCTCATCGTCTACAACAGCAAGTGAATGTAAGTCTGTGAGTTTTACACCACTATCAGCACTACTATAAGGGTTTTTTTATTCCCCCAAGAGGCTGGACTTCCAAATTTAACCTCTTGTCTCCGCTAAGACCCAGTAAAATGGGTAGAAAGTCTTGAGGACTCCACAAAACGATCTGTGTGTTACCCAATTCACCCTGCATAGCCGCGGCAGTATACTTGTGATCTGATCACCTAGATTTACATCTGCTTTCACTTTCTTTGTCGCTTATGTCTGAAACAAAACTAAAAACATGGTTCATGTATTTTAACACACACTAAAATAGCCGGGGCACTGTTGTTTTTTGTGTCTGTTTTTTTCTTCTTTTCGTATATGAAGATTTCAGCGCTCGCTTTCTTGCCATGACTTGCCACGGCAAAACAACAAACTAACTCGTACTTGGCGGAAAAACTGGATCAAAATAAGATAGCAAAAGTTTTTTGCAAGCTACAAGCGATCTATTATTTTCAATAGAAACATGGATAAGTGGTTTGGACTCTATTTTTTGGACTGGTATTTTGCTAATAGTCGTAGTTCGGTGGACGGAAGCGCACGGCATCTACGAACATATATACGTAGCTCAGGTGCAATGGGTTAAGAACACCCAGCGTGGGATTCGAAACAGGGCCATCCGCTGAGTAGTCTATCATGATACCAACTGAGCTAATGGAGCCCAGATGATCAAGAACTTTTTTTCTCCCTTCTTTTACAAGTGTTAATGATATTGATATATTCATTGGTCCTCAGACATTGAAACTAAACTAAAATAGAAAGCTATGGACATTTCCACAATGCCAAATCAAATCTTTCGGGAAAAGTAGACTCAGGTCGGGACAGAGAGATTGGCACAGACGAGGTAGTTCTTTCAAACGGCAGCACACTTCTGGAATTCTAGAAAAGTCTGGAGAAATGACAACCTCAAATAACTTACGAGAGATCATTGTAGGTGCAACAAGAATTGATATGAAAGGGCGTATGTGCGTTGACCGCTTGCTACAAGACGGGACGTACTCAGTCTCATAAGTTACAGGCTCCTGGTGCAACAGAATAAAAAAACATCAAACAACAAAAAAATTCGTCAACGTAATATCACACCCCGAAACTAATATACTGCTCCACAAGTTTCCATACGTAAGAAGTAATAAGGGTCTCCAAAAACAAAATACACCAAACCGATCTTATCCGTGGTATCCAAAACAAAACAAAATACACCAAACCGATCTTATCCGTGGTATCCAAAACAAAACAAAATACACCAAACCGATCTTATCCGTGGTATCGCAAACAAAACAAAATACACCAAATCGATCTTATCCATGGCATCCAAAACAAAACAAAATACACCAAACCGATCTTATCCGTGGCATCCAAGTAAAACAAAATACACCAAATCGATCTTAACCGTGGCATCCAAAACAAAACAAAATACACCAAACCGATCTTATCCGTGGCATCCAAGTAAAACAAAATACACCAAACCGATCTTATCCGTAGTATCCAAGTAAAAACAAAATCCACCAAAACCGATCTTATTCATAGCATCCAAAAACAAAATACAGCAAAGCGATCTCATTTATGAAACAGGCTCCAAGCCACAGCAGTAGGTGTTCACAACAAAGTCAAATACTCTGTACCACTCTCCGTTGAAACATTCGCTGACAGCGTAGCACAACGTCACACCACGACTCCAGTCAGGAAGATGATAACGGCAATAAAGATGGACATTTTTCGTTGACGCGGAACCAACTCTCTTGTGATCACGGAGAGAGAGAGCAGCATCAATGCACTCCAGACAGTCATGGGCGCTCCGTTGCTCTCTCTCTCTCTCTGTCTCAGTCTCTCTCTGTCTCAGTCTCTCTCTCTGTCGCTCTTTCTTTCGTTGAACGTGAACAAGAAGTTGTTCCAGCCTCCACTACGTATAGAGGCTACCCCCTGGTGCTCTGATGTCTGTACCTCCCTGCTCCACGTAGGAAAACATGCGGCCAGTCCTGTACGGCCATGGGGTCCCCACACCTGCCTGCTACTCCAGCAACAAAAATACAAGTTTTCCCAAGTTTTTGCCTGAATGCTCCCCCAAACATACAAGTTTGCTCCCAAAAATTAGTTTTTCTCTAAATCTCTTCCCCCCAAAATAGGAGTTAATCTTCCTCCAAAAATAGGAGTTTTTCTCTCAATCTTCCCCTTAAAGAGGAGTTTTTCTCTATATCTTCCCCAAAAATGGGAGTTTTTCTCTCAATCTTCCCCTTAAAGAGGAGTTTTTCTCTATATCTTCCCCAAAAATAGGAGTTTTTCTCTCAATCTTCCCCCTAAAGAGGAGTTTTTCTCTATATCTTCCCCAAAAATAGGAGTTTGAGCAAAAGAAATCAGTTTCCAGAACCCCAGAAGATAACGACTACGTAACAAACCAACTATGGTAAATATAATTGCATAGCAAATACAATAAATTAAAACGCAAATAAAAATGTGTTTTTTTGACATTGCCATTTACGATAAAAGTCACATACGACCACCTGATGAAGACCCAATTCAAGAATAGATCAATCAGATTTTACGCAATTCCAATCAAGGTTCTTAAAAGGCCAAAAAAAATTTTAATTTTTAAATTAGAAAGCTCGGATTTTCTTTCTGGGAGTACCTGGCAGGCCTGGGAAGGGGGGGGGGTGTGTGTCGTTCGTCGCGGGTCGTTAGGTACGCGCCTTGCGGTTGACCTTCTCGTACACCTCTGGGAAGGCTTTCTCACAGTCCAGTTGCTTCCTCATCTTGTCGTAGAGGGAGTGGTCAAACATGGCACGGAACTGCTCGCGGCTCAGGTACGAATCTGCGTACAGCATCTGGAACCTGTGGTGGTGGTAATGATAAATAATGATGATGATGATGATGATGATGATGATGATGTTGTTCCTGATGAAGCCTCTGATCGGGCGAAATGTTAAACCTATGTAAAAAATTTTTTTTAATTCTACAAGTCTCAACCATTTTTTTATCCTCTGCTGTTTACAAAGATAATGATGATATGATGATGATGATGATGATGACAATATTTATGATAATACTAAGGATAATAATAATAATGGTAACATGTAAAATTTAAATATATATGAGAGGCATCAAGGAGAAATCAGGCATTTGTCAAAATAACCAAACCGAAGATATGGCATTTTTGTGGCCATTGAGCAATTTTTTCAAATGTAAAAAAATTTTTTTTTGGCTCTACATATTTTATGTCAATTCAAATACAAATGAGAGCACCTGTCAACCACCCACAGTTACAAAAAAGTAACATACAAAAAAAAAAAAAAGGAGGAGAGATCAGGACAATAGATATGTTTGATAGCAAAGAAGGAAGGAGCAAACCACACCAGAGTACCTGCCAACCACCCACAAGGAGAGATCAGGACGATAGATGTTTGATAGGAAAGAAGGAGCCAACCACACCGGAGCACCTGCCAATCACCCACAAGAAGGAGAGAATAAAGACGACAGATGTCTTAACAGGAAAGAAGGAAGGAAGGAGCAAACCCCCACCAGAGCACCCGCCAACCACCCACTCCAGTATCTCTATCTGTGGGCTGGGACGTTGTGTGTCTCTCAGCCTGGAGGGGGAGGGGTGACTGCCCAGTTAGTCACAGGCTCAGTTAGTCACCTCAGTTTGTCATAATTACAGCTCTTCAGCACTGTCGTTGTAACTTAAGTTTTTTATTCTCCA